GGAATTCTGTTGAGAAAAAAAACTGTCTTGGTGACAAAATAATGAAAACACTTAGCAAGAGAAACGGTAACCAAAGCACTCTGAAATTGCTTAATAACTCATTCTTGATATTGATAAGAGGATAAAGAAAAGCATACCACATATTAAATTATTCCCTTATTAAAATACTCAAAGGAAACCACCAGCATCTCAGTCAGTGCCTGTTGCTTAGGGTACAGTTTAAGCTCTCAGGTACTAGGCATGGAAATGCTTTCACACTTCAAACATCAGTTAAAGCCGCTTTTCTCAAGTTTTTTTTTTTTTTTTTTTTTTTGCCTCTTGTAATTTTCTGTGCAGAAGTGGTAATTAACATGCACACACACACACACACACACACACACACAAAAAAAAATCACACTTTTTAAAGGCACATTCCTTGTTTGAGGAAACAGGAAAACTGCACTTTTCCTCCTATACTTACTTTACTATGTTCTAGGCTATGTAGGAAAGTCATTACTTTGCAGCTGAAGACCACATGGTGCAGAGGGTTGATCAAGGGAATAATGTGAGATGCGGACCAAGGAAAAGATCCTAATTGGCTCTTCAGAGCTCAGATGAAGGCAAAAATCAACTGTAATTAACAGTGGGCAAGCACTGTTAATCTGAAGATCAAGAGCAGGTAGATGCTCCAAAAGCTGTCTTTAGTTTCTTTACTAGTTCCCCTTTCCACAAGCAAAACCACATTAAACAGGCATTTTTGCCTAGGGAAGCAAATGGAGAGTAGGACTCATTGAAGTTACAATGCCTACATTAAACTTCCTTTTGACACGGACTCAAGTGAAGGGGCACCCACTGCTGTCAGGTAGGGTTTTATGGAGCTAGAAGCAAAGAACACCTGAGCCTTAGTACTAAACAGTGCTGGCAGTTGTTGCTCCAAATGAAGTCAATGGCAACTGCAGCTGCTCAGAACAGATGTAAATTAGAGCACCACAACAGCTTTTTTCCTGGTACATCTAATTATTGCTGAAAGAGATACATGGGAGACAACAATGTCTGGTAGAGAGAGGACTTTACTGGAAATAAAAAGAATCCTGGGCCAGGTTCACAACAGTTTGCATGTAAAATAGCAGCCCAACTTGACAGATGTAGGTAAGAAAAAGCTGAAATTTTAATTCAGCCATATAATCACATAAAGAAACCTTATAAATAAGGTGACTTAGGTTAGCAGCAATGCATCATCAGGTCCCTCATTGCTGGGGTCAATGAATACTGAGAGGAAGCTTTCCTCTGCATAACCACAGCCCAAACACATCTTCAGCTCATCCTTTTAACCAGTGTTCTGCCACTATGTATTCAGAGCACTCTACATTTCCCCGCCAACTAAACTAGGCAAGCCAAAGCATATTTTACTACATTGTACAATTCAAGGTATGTCTACATTAGATGTGCTGCCAATACAGAACAAAAACCCTTTCACACCATTACAGCATACTACTATACTGGCAAAAAGAGTCAAGTCTGTATCTGGTTGGGAATAGCTGCCATTCGTGGGAAGCTAGTCAAGATACTCATGTTAGCTCTAGCAGCAAGAGCCAGCACTTCATTCTTGCATGTTTGGTATCCTTTAAAGTATGATATATGCAGTGTATCTGACCCACTCTTTTATATAACAAACATGTCAAACATAAAAGGAGAGAAAAAGATCACAGTTATTATAGCTTTGGGTTTTTGCTTACCACAAGTCCTAGCACAAGGGTACGCACTCTCTCCCCAATCTCTGGTGAAATGTCATTGCCAAACTGCTGTAAAGTTGTAAGAAATCTCTTCAGTTTGCTGAGTTGCCTAGCTCCACAAGCTGGCGGTAACTGCTGGTTAGCCAGAGAAGAGGAAGAGGAAGAGGATGGCCCATTGCTAAAGCCATTAGGAGGAGATGGAGCTCCATTTAGCGCTGTTGGTGAATGGCTAGTGCCATTGGTTACTGAAAGAAAAAGAGAGAAGGGAAGAC